AAAATTTTTATTTTGTTCGAAATTATAGCAATTTGTTATGCTTCAACAATCTTTCCGATAATTTTTTCGAATATATAATCAATGTCAATTTTTTTTTTATTTTCCAATATGCTTTTATTAATTTAAAAATGGTTACAAAGTAATCTGAATGTCAAATCGATAAATGAAGTTGTGTCCTTTTTCTAAAATGACGAGACTGTAATCCATCGAATTTTTTAAATCTATTTTAATTTTCTTTAACATTACATATCTCTGTCAGACGCTACAATGAAAACAAAAGAACAGAACGAAAAATTGGCCTTTAATTAAAGATGAGATATATAAAATAAGCTATAAAATATAAAAGTGGAGATAGATATTCTTGATCTTCATTTTGAAGAGTGGTGATTATTTGACTAATATTTTACTAAATTAGTTGTTTTGTGGTTATTTAAGTAGTATGTCAACTTTATTCGCGCGTATTTTTATTTGTATCTCACAATCATCTTGGTGTCTTGAGATGTCGTATTTATTAATTAAGTCTGTGTGATTATCCGTTGATTGCGATTAAGGGGTAACGCCACTCTAGAGCTCGAAAAAAAAGACGTGTTTTTGATAATTTTTTACGGAGATACAATAAAGGAAATGGGAAATGTGTTTATAGGAGTTTATTATACATGTTCTGAAGTAAATAAACAAATTTTTTAATTAACATTTTTAAACAAAATGGCGGCTACGAAACTCGAGACTACCTCTCGCCGAAGGGCCGGAAAAGTTTCTCCCACAATTTTCAATCTGGAACAAAAAAATCAAAATTTTTTGAAAACTATATATGATTGGCTACAGAAGTACGTAGAGGTTTTTTAAATATTTTGTCAACTTTTTTTGTTATAAACAATTTACGGTGAAATTTTGTTACCGAAAAATGAATTTTTTTTTTCAGATAAGCACTATTTTTTGAAAATTCAATATTTTCAAAATCCCCTACGTACTTCTGTTGCCGATACTGACATAGGTCTCCTAAAGTGACACCCCCTTATTTCTCAGAAACTAACTATTGCACTTTATTAATACTGATAAAATCATGATCTGTTTAGCTAATTAAAGAAGTACAAACTCATAATGCATATATTTGTGGCTTATTTCTATACCAAATCAGCTAAAAACCAATTCTGTGAATCCGAGAAGAAAATTCTTACGGTGTTCTTTTGCAAATTGCGTAATTAAAATAATAGTGATTGTATTATTGATAATATTATGTCATTTTAAATGTTTATAGTTTCACATAAATTAGTTTTCTTTACAGAGAGAGAGAGAGAATAGGATATATCTTTATTTATAAAATGGGAATGTTGGTATTATTGCCTACTATGTCAGTTTTGGAGCCCATTTTTTGTCAGACGCTCATTTTTGCATAACTTACGAAAAACTTAATTATTGCAAAATTGCAAACAGTATTATAAAAATTGCTTATACTATCAGATAGAAGACACTTTTTATTTTGTATTTATGTTTTTGAAGTTGTATTTTTACCTTTTGTTTAAGAAATATTGTTTAAAAACAAAGTGGTATGTCGGTATCGGTGACCTTCCTCTACTACCAAAAACTCATATCTAAATAGGAAAGTTTTAGTCGCGTGTTTATATATCGAATGTAAATGTCGAGAATACAAATGTCAATCTCGACGCGAGTCGATAAGAAGCACGTTATTCGATACTATAAGTAATAAACAAACTATTCGGTTACGCAAACGAGTAAAATGTATCCGATACTTCAGGTATCAAGGATTCCAACGAAGTGCCAAATAAATCGGTTATTCACGAACGAGACGATGCACGGCCGTAACAACCTTCAAAGTCACGTTCGCCTGTTCACGACGATAAGTCGAATGCCGAGGTCGCGAACGAAACTTCATCACTACTTCGAGACTATGAATTCGTATAATGTGTAATCTTTGTGTTATTTTTAAAACTCGTAAAAAAACACATCTTTAAAAAAATCTCACATATTCATTCTTAATGCAACGGTAAGAACAAACGTTTCGCAAGTCTTTGAGCAGCATCAATACAATACGTTCGTTTTATGCGGGTGCCAGGTCAAAGTGATAAGAATAGCAATAGGTATAATGTTGTGATATGTAAACAATGAGCAAACGATATTTTTCTTCATATTTTAACATTCGTCATATTTCATTGACTGGCGATGTATTTATGCTTTGTTGTCCGACCATTATTGACAAGGTTTACTTGGTTTTATTTCTTAAAAAGAAAAACAATTTAAATCACCTTGTGAAATTGTTAAAGTTTAAAATTGATAAAATAATATAGTCTGTAATTGTATCTATCCTTCATTTTTTTGATGATTTATTTTTTTAATTTTTTATATTATAAACGAAATGTTGTTCTTATTAAATTTTCTAAAATGATATAATAAAAAAATAATTGGCCCTAAGTATTAGTCAACTTCTGTATAAGATAAGATCACAATAATATGTTAATGCGATCTTTCATAAACGTTTGAAATAAAATAATTTACGAGCGTAAATACGGAAGAAATCTGAGATCTTTGTACTATGATTGTTTGAAATGATCTTATTTAAACGCAAGACATCTTTCTAACGTACAATCAGAGATAATCCATTCTTTACTCGGTAAGAACTTCTGCGTGCAAGCTGTGTCAATACAGCTGTGATTACCAATCATAATACACATAAGAACAGCTGATCTTTGCACGCTAGTCACTAAACTATAAATGTTTACTGCGCTTATATGGCACACGTGACTCGATGATAACATTGTTTAGAAATCGATTGTAACAGAAGCTAGTGTATTAGAATAGATAAGAAAACAATATTAGAGTAATTCTTTGAGAAAATATTGTCAAATAATGACTCAAAAAAGAAACGGAGTATTATTGTGATTGTGAAAAGCAAATAATAGTATGAATTCTTAACCCTTAACACACGCGATTGGGTCATTCATATCTCTGTGCATTTCTTTTCTTTAAAATATTAGAAACACTTACTTATTTTTTGTATACTTGTGAAAGTGATGAAAATTAATCCGGGACACGAACTACCCATCGTGTAGTAAAGAACTGAAAAATCATCATATATACTAAGGATTAATTATAACGCATGAATTAACTTTATAGCGGGGATTCCAATGTTTCGTAGATTATTAAAGCGTATATGTCACAGTCTACTTAGGGTAGATCTCGACAAACTGAGTAGCTTTATTATAGCCGTCTTCTTCCTCGCCTTCTTATGATGCCGCTTTTATAATGATATTCCATTTTGTTAACGTCGGGCGCAAAGTCGGTAGCCATGATCCGTTTCCACGCACCGGTGCACCCGGCTTTACCGCCACATCGTTGTCGTCATTCTGGAAATCCAAGAACGAGAGAGTGACTGCGAGATGAGTCGGATAATCGCGTGTGAGCCGCTACGATCTCCTTATTGGAGAAATCGATGTATCATAAAATATCGTAATGAGTAAAAATATACACGAAATAAATATATAATTTTTTTGATCATTCAGACGTTAATTAAATCCAAACGGAATTGAAAAGATCGTGTTGCGAGTGACGAGTTACAAGAAGTTGTGAGCCACGTAACGTGAAAATTACGTAAATGTGTGAGACTTTACCTTGTCACTTGAGTAACGTGAATCGATAAATTTCGAGAGAAGGTTCAAGATAATGCAGCGGGATTTGCATATGTAATAAACTTCAGCAGCTTGAATTGTTTACCCGTCACAAATTGGAATTGAAATATAGAGACGTCCGATGCGCAGAAACTACTCGGTTGCGACAATACATATGTATTAATGAATATGTATATTAATGAATTTTACTATTCATTTTATAATTCACGCTAGGACGAAGGCTCAAACGGATACTTGACTGTCCGTGGTAAGATAAGTAAATTATAAATTTAAGATCACAATATTTTTCGTTGGCATATATTACGCAGTCTTGACTTTAATGAATATGAGATTACCGATAATTATGATTTTCATTGACATAATGATTCAGATAATCATGCAAATTGATGACTCGATAGAAAAGCGATTGTTCGATACTCCAAATTCGAACGTTTTCACATAAAGCAAACGTTCACGCTCGTGATTCGTGATCAATTTACTATTGATCCTCTTTTGAACTGGCAATGACCCAAAGTCAAGATCTGATCCGCATATGCTATCAATTAAAGCGAGTACTCTTCGTGGTTAATGAGGTGTATCCCAGGAATACCGAACCTTTGCCATTTCGCTTCATGAATCCTTACAATGCGCCTTTCATCTTTCAGTTCGAGCTCGTAAGATTCGAATGCCCCCACGAATCTTCCAAATGTTCAAGGTTTTCTTCTAAGGTCATTACGATTTTTCGTTTCCGAAATCCGAGTCCGAGGTCACAGAATGTGATTCGAACTACAATGATTTGCAATGAGATCGTAATCGTAGAAGGACAAAAAACAAGCTGAGAATAATTCTTAACCTCCCCATCATCTATCCATTCTCTCGTGGACGTATCAACTATCCATGAGAGTCTGCAGAGTTTTTGCATGTCATTATGTTAAGCAATATTAAGTGAAATAGACCGAAAAGTGATTAACACAAATAACAGAGAAAAAAAGCCATTTTCGGTCAAAGCATGTCTTTTGCTTAATAATAATCATATATGAATATACAAATACAATTATCGGTTCTATAGATTGCGCAGCGATTCAAGTTGCCGGACTTGAAATACAATCATTATGCATCAAAATAAATCAATACGAATTTATTATATTGATTAAAGGATATAGAAAACATTATCACAATAGAAAATTGAATTATAAGAAAAAAAATTGTATATGTATATAAATATGTGGTATTCTTTTAAATAGAGCCCTTCTTTTTGTTTTTATGACAAATTATCAACGAAGTTTCTTTTCACGCAAGTTTCGTAGCCGCCACATGTGAATGATACGCGTTCGAGAGAACATGTAAACGCACAAGTTGCATTTTTTGTATTTACAGATTAGAGTACCATTAAAGATAAACTTTTCGGCCAGACCGAAAGACGTGGTTGTGTCGATCACAAAGAAACATTTAAGCTGTGGACTGAAAGGCCATCCACCAATTCTTGCTGGGGATTTTCCGCACGAGGTCAAACTAGAGGAATCTACTTGGGTAATTGAAGACGGAAAAATATTGCTAATTAATTTAGAAAAGGTGAGTCATGGACACAATAGATGCGATTGCACCCGCGTAAACGCGCTTTTCGTGGCCTCGCCGATCCTCGGCCTTACCGCAACAGTTCTAAGATCGTCCAGCCGCAAATGAAGATTTAAGATACGCGTGACCGATTAACATTTCTTTCGCGTATGATTATCTTCGCGTCTAGTTATATAACCATTTTGTGATTCTGCTTCGTAATTTTTATCCAAAACTTTATGAAACATAAAACGATACATTGTAATCGGAATTGATCTATGACATACATATATTATATTAAAATTATATTAAAATAATGTAAATTTCGCTGAATGAAAATATCGATATATATATATATATATATATATAGTATGTACAATAGATAAAAACAAGACGTTATTAGTAGCACAGATATAATTTTATATAGCTTAATTTTATTAATTTGTGGTGTAATGATAGCGTAATAATAGCAATATCCTTATAATTTGCAATGAAATTAATCTCGCCGATTGCAGGTAAACAAAATGCAGTGGTGGGCACATGTTATAATGAGTGAGCCAGAAATTAGCACGAAGAAAGTAAACCCTGAACCTAGTAAACTCTCCGACCTCGATGGAGAGACAAGAGGCCTCGTGGAGAAAATGATGTACGATCAGAGGCAGAAAGAACTAGGACTTCCAACATCCGATGAACAGAAGAAACAGGATGTCATCAAAAAGTAATCGTCGATGTTTTTATCGTGCTATATATCGATACCCACATTTTTAATTAATTAATGAATTGTTACTTTTTGTTGGATTTTTCTAGGTTTATGGAGCAACATCCTGAAATGGACTTCTCGAAGTGTAAATTCAATTAAAATAATTTAATAACGCGCGCACTTAATAATATTCCGGTACTATACATTGAAATATTTTTGAGATATATCTCGCTTTTTATTATCATATTACAACATGCGATCTTCTATACTCGACGTTTCCATATCGTTGAAGAAGAAAGTTAATGCGATTACAAAGATGGCAGCACAATGTTAGACTATGATGCCATATACAGAGTTCTACTAATGCGATCGAAATATTTTTCGATTATTCTTTTCATTTTTTCTTAACTACTTTTTTACATTTTCTTTACTTTTAAAAAAAAAATCCATTGCACAATTGTCTAATTTCTGTATTTGCGCTTCTCTTATCTATCGAGTTCTTTGGAAAGAAGATAGATTAGAATTGTATGAAAGAGATACAACTTTAAGAATAAAAATCATATAACTGTTATGTTTTTTCTTTCGCAATGTATTACTTTTAACTTTAATCGTATTCAAAAATCCAGTCGACCCAAATAGTTTTCAATTACATTGAAAAATTGTTTATATCAAATGTTTTTCACAATCATACATAATTTTAAGTTATAATCGTATTTGGATTTTGATCTTCAAAATGAAACAAATCATTTAATTACATTAACTTTAATCAAAGATATACATTTCATTCCCTGATTTCTTGTGTGTGTATATATATATAAAATAAAATAATACAAACATATTTTTGAAGAAAGTGAAATGTGCGATATAGTAACAAGTTACAATATAATTAATTTTATATCTGCGTAATTTTGCGATTTTTCGTAGTTTTAAGATTTTTATCGCTATGCTACTTGACATCTGTGTCCTGATTGCCCGTTGTAGTTTTAATTTCTATGCTCGTTTATGCATGAACACTATAATTACAATTATAATACAGTTATGATGTTTGCTGTGTTTCTTAAATGTAATCGTCAGTTTGCTTCATCACTTTCGTAATCCAACGCACGTAATTGGATAGTCTGGCGTATATACCAAATTTACCGCGCTTGCCACAACCTTCGCCGAAACTAGTGATACCAAAAATTGTCCACGGATGTTCGGGTTTACGAGGATCTCTGCAGAGCAGAGGTCCCCCACTGTCACCCGCACAAGAGTCCATTTTACCACGACGATAACCCGCACAAAACATATTATCCGTTATTCTGTAATCCACGTAGACCTCTCGACAAGTCTCGGGAGACACTATTGGAACCTAAAATTGAATTTGACATTCATATTATTTTTCTAAAGTACACAGTTGTAATTGTGAACTCATTATTACTTTATTAATCTTTAGAAGACGAGGTCTATTCTATCTTACAGCTTTTTCTTAAGTAAGATTTGTTATAATTTATTATTTTTCATTTTTTTGTATTCTTTAAAACATAATATTATTTCTCTCTCAGCACCACTATAGTGACTTTTCCGCGCGTCATATAAAGATTAAATAGTCAAATTTTTTAAATTGAATTGCATACTTTAACTTCGTGCAGCACATCCGTTCCGAAATCGTCCGTCACGCTGGATTTGCCCCAGCCGATAATGGTGCACAACTGATTCGTAGGTAAGGGCTGCTTTGGTGCGGGTAAACACGCAATCCCTCTCGAAGGAGACGGGGTCAAGGTAACTGGTAAACGAAGTAGAGCCACATCGTTATCAACAGTATCGGCATCGTACTCCGGGTGGATGGTCACCGAGTCCACCTACGCAGTCATAGAATTAATCAGCGGCGACATGAAATTGTCTATCTAACTCTTAACTGCGACACGTACCCTAAGCTCTAATTCCGTGCCTTCTTTCACCGTTAAATCGTGCTCTCCAATACGAACATAAAGGCGTTTTCTAATGCAATGCGCGGCAGTTAATACCCACCTTGGGGATACCAATGTTCCACCGCAAAAAGCTTCCTGAAAAAAGAAAATCAATTAAGTTTGGTCCAGACAATTATAAAACCTTTCTTGCTCCTCAACCATTTGTAGGCATCTTTCATGACTTATATTATTTGCTGTTTCTAGGAAATGAGATTTATTCGTTGTAAATGTACCCGAAATCGATTTAACACGGCCACTTGCCATGGCCAGCTTCCAGGTGCAGTCGGACGGCCGCCGATAATTCGTGTGAAGTATGATAATCTGGATCCTTTATGAGTCGCTACTCCGCACTTCCAAATGTTTGAATTCTTCTCTGGAGCGAAGCTATCAACGGTATTAGGATTGAGTTCGAACTCGTCCAACACCAAATCTAGAAAATGAATAAAACTAGCTACTCGTTTTTCTTATTAGTACTCAATGCTGACTTGAAATAGGTTTACCATCGCCGTCTTCTTCGTGGCTACCGCGAATCTTTCGATGGATCCATCTTTGGCAGAAGCTACCTTCGACGTAGCAATAGGCGCTTTCTCGTATCACATCGCGCTCGCAAATTCCCGGCTTTCTGCACCATCTAATCACAACAAATATATAATATATAATATCAATTTTGAACATGGTATAATTCTGAACGAAATAAAATAGTCCAATTTTTTAAATTCAAGTTGTATGGACAGTGTTAAAGAATATCAAACAAGAAAAAAATCAAATTTGAACTCTGACTGGATTATTTTATTTCGTTTAGAATTGTATCATGTTTGAAATTGTATCACCTTATCCTACGTAATCTTATACGAATTTCTATAATACCTATGACGTTGAGTAGTGCACAGTCTCGTGCAAGGTGACCATTTACTCCATTTTCCATATTGTCTTTTGGAGTTCTCCTTACTGTTTTTGCCTTTTTGCTTTCCATGCCTAGGCTCTGCTTCTTTAGGTACCTATTAAAAACGCGCATTAGCAATCAAAAATCAAATATTAATGCATGCCGCGACTTACTTGAACGACGTGAAATCTTTCGTTTCTTCGTCGACGTCTCCGGCGCTGGCGTTGTTTGCATCGCCTTTGACGACCCTTTCTATTATGTTCGCAACCACGTTCCTCCTGTATCACAACAATCCGTTAATAAAAAATTATTCACAATATCGTGTAATTATGTAGATCACATATTTACCTTAAGTACAGTGGTTCCGCAATCTTTTTTTGATCGGCACTTCCTGACGCGATTTTGCATGCAGTGTCGATCGCACACCGACCATTCGCTCCAATTTGTGAAGTGCGATAGCTTTGTTGCTTCTGTCATCAAAGTAACATGCGAGAATATAGATTAGGAATATGTAATAAAAGAAATATGTAAAATTGAGAATATTGCAAGAAAATATTTTTTCGATCATAGAAAATTTATGGAAAATCAATGGCGCACATACACTTACTATTCTTTGGCAAATGCTCTGCAGATAGCTGGTCGATCGAATGAAGGCAGCTTACGTTGCTTTTAACTCCAAAAACGAATGTCTTGTTTTCATTCTAAAATTATTAAACATATGTACATATTTAATGATATAATAATTTAGATTTTTTTTATTATTAAATCAAAATTTCATGGATATAACAATATTCAATATAACAATTCTTTTAATTATTTGGAATGTTACTGTTGTTTAATTAACATATTATATATTGCTAACTTGGTTTACTAAATTCTAAGACTAGAGGAGAGATCGGGGACAAAAGTAACAAGGTACAATAGTAACATCGCCAATATTTCTGAAACTATTTTGTTCCCGATCTGTTTTATGATTGAGAACATTCTAACAAATGGCAAGTTGCAGTCATTTTACGTTTTAACCTTGTTGAAAGGATTAATGTATCAGTGAAAATTTCACGTCATATTATCTCGTCACTTGACACGCCTCTGTGTCGACAGTGGCTGCATACTGATACGATTACCTTAAAATTATCTGTCCTAGACCGAAAGACTTAATAGATACGGCCTGGCCAGCACTCTATTTAGTTCTATCATTTAGTATGCTCCAAGGTTGTAACGCCCAAGTCGCGATATTAAACTCAATTTGCCCGCTGGTAATGGCATCGCGACGTAACCGTCGTCGGCGCTAATCATGCGTTACACGATGTCACCGTGTCGACAAAGTACGTAGGCATATAAAATTACTGTCATTTCGCTGTCGCGCCTTTTCGAAGCTCCTCGAAATCTATACTCGCTCTGAAATTCCGAACAATGGTTACTGATTGCAATCGCGATGATTCATTTATAGTTCATGAATTCAGATGCGATTAAAATGATGCTTGAAACAAGCTCTATAAAGCTAGCAGGACCAAATCAGCAGAATCAAATCGGACCTATCGAAATTTTTAATACTCATTTTGTACTAAATTGTACCATTAATGATAATTTTGTACCGTGTGCCATTTCGAAAAAAATCGTGGCGCTGATGGCTTAATATTAAGCTAGCAGGACCAATTCAAAATAAAAGATAAAAAGAACAATAATATCAGAAATCAATACGATTGAATTTGTACTATTTTGTACTGCCAAAAACAATTCTATATTGTGCCATTTTCAAGAAAACAATGACGTTGATAATATTTAAACTGGCAGGACCATAAAAAAAAACAAAATAAGGGAAAAAATTAACACAACTAAATTTGTACTAATTTGTACCATTGAAAGTAAGTTAATATTTTACATGTTTTCTCCTTAAAATAACTTTATTAGTATATACTTACAATCTATTCTACTTCAAATCGTGCACCTATGAAGCATCACTTTATTTTTTTTTTTTAATTTGCTAACATATTCTACAGATAATAATAAGACACGTTTTCGTGAAAAAAATGTGAGATTTTTTGCAAAGTTATTAACGCTTGTTAGTTGCGTAAATTTATAAAAAACGTCGCTCATTAAACATTTCAATTATTATATCATCGAAATAATTAGTCGTACAAAAAAGATATAATTTTCCGAGATTAAAAGTCCGATTATAAAGTAACTCTGAAAATTTCAAAATAGAACTCGAATGGACTGTATAGTTAAAAAATGCGAGTTCTATTTTGAAATTTTCAGGGTTACTTCATAATTAAAATGGGAATATATTTTTACAAAATTTTTTGATTGATGAGTTGATGAAAAATATTCATAAAAATTGTAAACAAATGGAAAATAATTTATTTATATAAAAATAATAAATTAAAAATAAAATCCAACCATAGATCAATTTACGATCTTTAAAATCGGACTTTTAATCTCGAAAAATCTTATTTTTTTTTTATACGACTAATTATTTCGATGATATAATAATTTGAATGTTCCATGAGCGACGTTTTTTATAAATTTACGCAACTAACAAGCGTTAATGACTTTGCAAAAAATCTCACATTTTTTTCACAAAACACGTATCTTATTATTATCTGTAGAATATGTTAGCAAATTAAAAAAAAAAATAAAGTGATGCTTCATAGGTGCACGATTTGAAGTAGAATACATTGAGTATATACTAATAAAGTTATTTTAAGGAGAAAACATGTAAAATATTAACTTACTTTCAATGGTACAAATTAGTACAAATTCAGTTGTGTTAATTTTTTC